ATTAAAGCAGCCTGTATATTTTAAGCATATGTTGACCTCAGAATGGAAACCAGGATATGTGTTATGTTGGGGAAGAGGTTTTGCCTTTATTTCCAAAGGAGAAGAAAAGCTGTGGATATCGTCAAGACTGATAAAGATTAGATTAGAATATTATAGACCTCCTTAACAAGGAAAGGTGATAGTTTATCAGACAGCTTTGTCATTGAGTCCAAACTAACTTATAAAGACTAAAAAATGTCTTTTATTTGATCAGTCATGAAAAAACAAAATAAAACAATTATATTTTCGAGTGATAATTTACCAAAGGCATGCTTGCCTTACTTGCTTGAAATGAAAAATGGGTTTTCTTAAACCACATGTCTTAATTCCATGTTAGGATGTTAGACTGTAGCAGGCTGGGATGGCACATACCTATAATCTCAGTACTTGGGGAGGCAGAGGCAGGCAGATTTCTGTGAGTTTGAGGCCAGCCTGGTCTACAAAATGACCAGGATAGCCAAGGCTATACAGAGAAGCCCTGTCTCAAAAAACAAAAAACAAAATAAAAACCCAAAATGTTAGACTGTAGATTGGCATGGGCATGTAGCCCACACCATCTTGGACAACTTTTGAGTTGCCAAAAAAAAAAAAAATTTATGCTAAGCAATATATAACCTGCCAAAAATGAACCCTTCAGAGTTAGGGTTGGGGCAGGCTTTTGTTTGTTTGTTTGTTTTGTTTTTTAATCTTTCTAGGAGAATAAAAGCATCCAACTAAAGAATCCGGAGACCACTGGGCAAGTGAAACATTTGAAGAAAAAGGACAGATTATCAAGAGAAAATGTCCCAAGAAAAGAGTAAGTTGTCCAAGTGGTATTGCCCACCTCCTGTTGACCAGTCTGAAATCTTTGTTTGGAGCCCTGGACCATGGGAGCCCTGGCACCCATGCTACCATCTCAACCGAGTGGCCACGCCTTCCTGCTGTGGGCCTGGGGCCTGACAGCCCCTGTGGGTGCTTCCTTTCTTCCTGCCTGGCAGCTAGGCCTTACATGGAAATTCTCAAATGCTCGTCTCTGCTGCCCTCTACAGACATAGTGACAAATGATCCTTATGTGTTCCCAATTCAATTAACAATTAAAGCTGACTTTGGGGTTGGTGCATAGCTCTCTCCTTCTCTAAACTCACGTGCTTGTTAAAGGGAAATCCAAAAATCTCTGTCTCATATCAGAAGAGTCACCTAGTATGGGACAGAGGAAAACAGAAAATAAGGGAATATTCTGTTGTTACTAATCTCATAATCTTTTGGTTTTCATTTGACTCTCTAAAACTTTCCTTAAGGTATGAGTATTATTTCAATAATCTTTTAGATTACTATGTACATATAAACTTTCTGTCATGACACTAGTAGTCATACAGAATACTAACTAATTATAGAAATACGCTTCATCTAGCTTCCTAAACGTACCTTCAGGTTTGAATCTGAAGCAGGTGACTAGGAACAAAGTTCGTGTACCTTGGCGGGACTTAATAGATTGTGGTCCTCAAACCTGGACATTTGCTGAATATGGCATTTGAAATGCTTAGTTTTTCTATGATAAACCATGAGCATTCCGAACAGTAACTTTGGAGGTCTCCAAGAAGACAATGGGGCCCTGCAACTAGAGTCTACCTGGATTGTGTTAATGTAAACACCGGTCACAAATGCCCTATGCCTCTTCTGCTGCCAGGTTCTGTGCAAACAATGGACACTCTCGGGTTGACTGCCGTGTTCTACCTAACCAAGATTGCCACTAAGTTGACAAACACCACCCAAAGATCAGTTTAAGACTACACACTGCTCAGGATATATTCGAATTGCTTAGTTCGGGGGAGACCAACACTAACACTAACATTTTTTCAGAACTTTGAACTCAGAGAAACTTAATCCCAAGATTGCCAAATACAACCAAGCTGGACATTGTGAACAGCTCGGCAGAGATAGCTTCATTGTTGTTAATAGTTTTACTGCATTATAGCCAAAACCTTTCCTTTTTATTTAGGCAAAAAGGGGGGCGGGGAGGAATGTTACAGGATATTTGATCATACCGTGAACCCAGAGATTGTGTTATCTACTGGAAAAAACTGTGATGTGGGTCAGCCTTAGCACACACCTTTAATCCAAGATCTTTCTGCTTGAGTATTGTAAACAAGATTAATAAAGTCAACCATAGGTCAAGAGGTGGAGCAAGCAACAAGTTGACAGGAAGTGAACACAAGATTATTTAAAAAAACAAAACAAAACAAAACAAAACATGGAGGGGGGCTGGAGAGGTGGCTCAGAGGTTAAAAACACTTGCTCTTCCAAAGGTACTGAGTTCAATTCCCAGCAACCACATGGTGGGTCATAACTATCTATAGTAAGATCTGATGTGCAGGCAGAATGTTTTATAAATGAAAAATAAATCTAAAAAGAAAAACCATGGAGAGTAGGAGGGAGTCAAGAGAAGGGAGAGTGGCACAAGAAGTAGAAAGGGGGGACATTCAGTTTGAGGAGTCTTATTTGAGAAGGGGTCATTCTTTTCTGGTATGTTGGCTGAGGAGGAAGGTCAGATGGGTGTTTTCTCTGCCTCTCTGAGCTAGCAGGCTTTAACTGGGCATCTGGTTCACCAGTCTTTATTGGTAAAAGTTAAGTGATTGAGATTTTGATAAAAACAACAATCTGGAACTACATTCATGCCATATATCCTGGTCTGATCATTGTACAATGTATACATATACTGAAATGTCACAGGTACTTTCTTTCTTTCTTTATTACAATTTATTCACTTTGTATCCCAGCTATAGTTCCACCCTCCCCAAAAGGTACTTTTTAATATGTACAGTTCTTAAGGCAATTACAAGTGTATATTGTTGTTTTAAAGAAATGAAAATCCCAACCATTCTGTTTTACCAATAAAGACTTAGGAACCAGATGCTGGGGTGAAAACCTGCCAGCTCACAGAGACAGAGACAGTACCCAGCTGACCTTCCTTCTTACCTCAGGTATGGGTGGAAAAAAACAAAAGGCTCACTAGCTCAACTGAGAGCCTAGGAGCAAAAGGCCAAAAAACCCAAGGCCAAAGGCTTGCTAGCTCAAAGTCCAAAAAGCCAGGGAGCTGAGGAGCTGAAGCCTAAACTAAAGCCAGAGCTTGAGCTAAAATCTTTCTTTTCCCTTCTGCCTCTACATGCTGTCTTATATACCCCTCAACTCAAAGTCTCTCCTTCTCTTTAACCCCTGTCAACTGGTTTCTTGGTCTGCCTCTTGACCTAGGGTTAACTTTGTTAAATCCTGTGGATGATTGCAGTAAAGGTGTATGCTAGGCCAGGTGAACCACACTATAATCACCTGTTTACAATACAAAGTTCTGGGATTAAAGGTGTGTGCTAGAGTTTAACTGCACCAAACAAGAAATAGGGTTTTACAATTCACAGTTTTGGGATTTACAATGGGATCAAATATCCTGCAACAGTATGTGTGTGTGTGTGTGTGTGTGTGTGTGTGTGTGTGTGTGTGTGTATGTGTGTGTGTGTGTGTATGTGTGTGTGTGTATTCATTTTTTTTTTTTTTTCTTTGTATAGCCCTGTCTGTCCTGGAACTTGCTATGTAGATCAGGCTGGCTTCAATCGCAGAGATTCGCCTGCCTTTGTCTCCCAGTGCTGGGACTAAAGGTGGCACAAGCCACCACCCCACCACCACTTGTCTACAAATGTATTTGTGCTAAGAAAATACTGAGGATTAAAACAAAACAAAACAAAACACTAAGGGACTATAGAATTGGTTCAGTGATTAACAGCATTTGTTTCAGAGCTGGAGAGATGGCTCTGTGATTAAGGGCATTGGCTGCTCTTGCTAGAGGTCCTGAGTTCAATTCTCAGCAACCACATGGTAGCTCCCAACCATCGAAAATGAGATCTGGTGCCCTTTGGTGTGCAGGCAGAACACTGTATACATAATAAATAAATAAATTTTTAAACAAACAAACAAACAAAAAACACTTGTTCTTTCACAGGCCCTGGGTTCAGTCCTCTGAGTGCTGGCTTTTGCAAGCATATCTGGTCTTAGAATTCTTTAGTGCTAGTAGATAAGGACACAAATACGGGGCTGGGGGCTAGTGGAACACGCCATTAATGCCAGCACTTGGGAGGCAGAGACAGAATTTCCAGGTTCAGTGCCAGCCTGGTTTACAGAGTGAATTCCAGGACAGCCAGAACTGCATGGAGAAGCCCTGTCTTGAAAAAACAAAGATCAACCCACAAAACTGTAATTGAAATGTTTGCATACAAAGTTAGAATAGTTATTATTGCTGTATGTACTTTCCCTGCTGTCACTGTTTTTCTTAACTTGACATAAATCTAGACATACTTGGAAAAGAGCAATCTCAATCGAGTAGTAGATTGGCCTATGAGGCCATCTGTGGGGCACTTTCTTAACTGCCCACTGTGTGTCTGGGCTGTATAAGCAAGAAGCTAGGAAGCAGGTGAACGTCTTATACTCTGTGTTTAATTCCTAATTCTAGGGTTTTGCCTTGGCCTGCCTCAACGATGGGCTATATAATTAATGTAAGATGAAATAAACTGGTTTTTTTTTTTTTTTCCTTTAGTCTGTTTTGGTGATTATTTTATCCTAGCAACAGAAAACCAAAGTAAAACATATACCAGTAATTTTTCTGGAAAAGATCACACACCTTTTTTATTTTTATTTTTTGGAAGTAGGGTTTCTCTGTGTAGCCTTGGCTTTCCTTGAATGCGATCTGTAGACCAGGCTGGCTTTGAACCCAGAGATCTGCCTGACTCTGTCTCCTGCGTGCTGCGATTGATTAAAGGCCTGCGCCACCAAGCCCAGATGAGTTCACAGACTTTAATCTCAACTGTCAAAACGATTGTGCAAGGTTTGCTTTCAGCATAGAGCAAAACATATGTATAGCCATAAAGGGCCAAGAATCGTCCAAGCGTGCCTGTGAACTATGTAACAAAGTCAAACAGCATTCTCAGAAATGACTTTATAAAAGGGTGACCAAGAAGTTAATGTATTTAGTTTGTAAGGCAACGTAACAATAATGAAAACATGAAGATAGGGAGGAGCAGCAGAGGAAGCCATGGTATGCCGCAATGGCTAGCGGAGGGTAATGGTGGATGCAGGTGTCTGGGCCGCTGTGAAGGGCCTCGAATCGGTACCGTCTGGCTTATTTCTACAGGACCACGGAGGCTCGTGGCGGTTTTCGAGTCAATAAAGTTCAATAAATCTCAAGAGAGCTTCACAAGCAAGGATTACACTAATATATATATATATATATTTCTAGCATGCTCAGTGAAGATCTCGTCTAGCGACAGAAGCTCCGCAAGGGCTCGACAGGCCCTAGGTATCCACGGCCAAGGTTCTGAAAATAGCCCTAAGCCCTCTACTACCACGACTACGGCGGCAGGTGTGGGGCGCATGCGCATCGGCTCACAGGCTGACCTCCTGGTGGCCCCCGGGAGAAGCCGACCTTCTTCCCGACAGCCCGCGGAGCACAACGGGTGGGGAAACGTTAATCTCGCGAGTTCTCAAGCAGCGACGGCGGAAGTAGCGGGCACGTGACTGTCCTAGGCCGCCTTCGCCTGCCCCCTCCCCCTTCTCGGAAACCCGGCCCCCTCACCCTTCGCCCACCCCGGAGCCGCCGTAATGGACAGTTTGGGATCTGGAATTCTCTTGGATCCCATCACTGGTACCAGGCTAGCGGGACCCAGCGGAGCCCGGTTTTGGCGTCAAAGGCAGAGGGGGCGGTCAAGATGGGGGGAGGGGTCCGCTCCCTTCACCCAGTAAGGAGGCGGGGCGGAGAGGAGACGGACCGGGGCGGTGGCGGGGCAGTCACGTGGGGCGTGGCGCGCACGCCGTGCGCGCGGCGCCTGACCAGTCACCCCGCCCCCTCTTCCTGTGGGGCGGGGAGTTCGGGGGGAGGGGCGTCAAGATGGCGGCGGGGAGGTAGGCAGAGCCGGACGCCGCTTCTGCCGCCGCCGCCGCCTCCGCCTCCGCTCCTGTCGCCTCCGGCTCCTCACACGCTCACGCACCGGGAGAAAGTGTTCTTTCGTCGGGTCCGGCGGGGAAAGTAAGTCCTTCCCTCAGCCCTCTGCTCCTTTCACGCTCGTTCTCCCGGACAGCCTCCCACTCCCACCGCGGCTCCTCGGGGTCCGTGTGGGGCCGGCTGCGGGGGGGGGAGGGAAGGCGGCCACTTCGCTGCTGTCCGCGCCTCGTTCTCCAGCTGCGCGGTGGCTTCCTGCCGGTCGCCCGGTGGATTCCGGCGTTCTCCGCCTGGCATCGCCGGCCCTGCAGGAGTCCCGCCGTCCTGAGCCGGGTAGCAGCTCCGAGGCCGGCCAGCCCGGCCCTTCGCACGCCGCCTCCCCCGGGGGGATCGCTCCCCTCGCCTCTCCTCCTCCCGTGGCGTCCGGGCGGGCAGCGAAAGTGAAGGCGAGACCTTTATGAGAGTCCCGCCGGCCCGCTGCTCCCCGGTTCCGGGAGCGGGAGGAGGCACCGGGACGCCCGGCCTGACCTCGGTCCAGGAAGGCGACTGGGGTGCGTGGGACACGTGGGGGGGGGACATCTTCACACCTTGCCGTGCCGGGCTTAGCTTTCCCCGGAGTGAGGGAGTGCACTTTCATACTCTGGACTCATTTCATGCTGAGGGCGATGGCGGTTGGGCATCTGCTCATCCTTGCAGTGTTGGGTCTGGTGAGCACCCGAGTTCCTCAGAGCCTTGTCTACCGGTGTTTTCCTGGGAGTGCCGTGGGATGGGCTCCAGCACTCTGAAGCCTTGGAGTGATTGTTGCTTTCCTGACCCCGGCATCCAGCTCCTCCCCTTTCTATCCCGGCTTTGTGCTTCTGTTTGGTTAATGTTTGCAGACCACTAAGTTGGTGCTCCCATATAAAAAGCTCTTTTTATGTGCTTGTTCCGTTTACTGTGGGAGGCTTTTGTTTGGGGGAGGCGCTGGTTGAGAATCGTGCTAGCGCGGGGCGGGGGGAGCTGGAGATAAAATGAGAGCCCAAGAAAGCATCGTTTTTTATCCATTGAATTGCCCAGCCAATTGTAGCCGCACCCGGAAGTTTGTGCTGAACACGTGTTGAGGGAAGGTTAAAAACGGGCCCCCTTTGACCTTTAAACTTCGATTGTTCGAAGTGTATGTTGAGTAAAATGTTCATAGTCTCCGGACTTTAAGGATTAAAGGTGGAAGGCTTGTAAACAATCTCCCCAGAGGGTCCATCCAGCTGTCAAACCCAAAATGCCCTAGGTCAGTCAGTTTATTTAGCATTTGCATATAGTTCTGCCCGTTAACAGTCCCAATGTCAATGTTGATTTTCATAAGCATTGGAAAAAGAAAGAAGCATTTACACAGAATTTCTGGAATGAAATGGCATTTACAGAGGTGACTTCAGAGGGACAATTTTGATAGCACAGGAACGTTAATTTCCATTTTTCTGAAGTTTTTTTTTTTCCAGGCATTCCCTGATGGGAGAAGGCTTCTTCTGGTTTCTGCTTGCAGTTTAACTTCATTCAATGCAAATCTCTTATGAATTTTAAGTCCATCTTCACTTTAATGTTAAAAAAGAGAGCCTAATATTTATTGGTTTGAATGTGATGTGTTTGCAGTTTTGTATGTCTTTAATTTTTTTGAAGTGTGGTCAGTGTGGGCCGGACGCACTGGGGAGGCAGAGGCAGGTGGATCTTCCTGAGATAGAGTCCGACAGCCAGGGCTACACAGAGAAAGTGTGTCTCCAAAACCCAAACAAAAAAGGCTGTGTGGAGACTATTGATTCTATGCTTTTTATTTTTTACTGTTTTATTTTTGAGATTGTGTCGTATAATTTCACTGTGTAGGCAGTCTGACTTTCAAGACTCAAGATCTTGTCATAGCCCTCCTGATGGTGGGATTACAGGCCTGCACTGTCATCATGTCCAGTCTTTTCTGTGCTTTAGAAAGATGCTTCAAAGACCTCAGCTGTGTGTAGATGTGGTTTTGGTGCTTTTCAGTGTTTAAGTTGAATTTTGAGTTGTCTTGCCACTTGCCAACGGCAAGAATACACAGGTCTGGCCTTACCAAGTAGTCTCTCGTGAGATACGGTAGGCTCCAAAGTATTCTTGCTTAAATTTAAAGTTCATCTAAAGAGGCCACTGAGATGGCATAGCTGGTTGAGACACTTGCTTCTAAGTCTGACAGCCTAAGTGTGATACCTGGAATTCACGGGGTGGAAGGAGAGAACAAGCTGTCCCTTGACTTCCACACATGGGAGTCCCAACACTGTGTGCCACCTCTAGTGACCCATACCATAGTGATAATAACAACAACAATAAAATGAATGTAATAATGCTATTATTGTTTTTGAGACAGGGTTTCACTATGTAGCTATGGCTGTCATAGAACTCATTGAGAGGAGTAGGTTGGCCTCGAACTCATAGATTTGCTTGCCTCTGCCTCTGCCTCTCAAGCACTGGGATTAAAGGCCTGCACCACTGCTGCCCAGCAAGTGGAGGAGTTCTTGAAGAGCAGGAAGTCCTAAGAATATAAGGTGTTTCAAAACAGATAAACTTATTCATTCGGGTATAACAAGTAAATTAGAAAAGTTTTTAGATGCTTTTGTTACATCCTACAGTAAGAAATGTTCCTGACCTAATGGTAGTGAATAAAACAACAAAGTCTCCCGAAATGTTTGCCCTTTCCTCCTATGTGTTTTGGATTGGTTTTCCATTTTATGCTGAAATACTCAATTATGTTGACCATCATACTGTAAGCTACTTTGACAGTGAGTCCTGTTATACTCTTAACTACAGATGGAAAACATTGATTTAGCAGTCCTTTGGCATCTAAATGTGATCGGTTCAAGACCCAGGAAAATAGCAAAAGTTTGCAGGAGCTTAAGTCCCTTATGTAATAATGTCACATTTGCATGTAATGTAGATCCTTCCGAAGTTCATCTCCAGATTGTTTACAATACCTAATAGGTATATGTGCTGTTTGAGGAGATACTGGCACTGATTGCCCAGGGAACAGTCTACAGGTTCATGCAGTACTTATATCTTCTGCCGAAAGTTTATTTATTACTTATTTTTTTGAGACAAGGACTCGCTATGCAGCCCTGCCTGGCCTGGAAGTTCCTATGTAGACCAGCTGGCCTCAGTGCTGGGTTTATATGTGTGGGAATCACACAACACCTTCCCCGTTGAACTTCGGAATGTGGAGCCTGTGGATATGGAGGCCACCTATTGGGGTGAGAAGGGAAGGAAGTTTGGAATTGGTCTCCTAGGTGAAGTCCAAGCTTGTGTACTTACTACCTTGTTATAGTCTTACTCTCTTTTGGTTTTAGCTCCTGCTTTGTGACAGAGGGGATATTCTTGGGTTATGCTGAGGATGAAAAGAAAAACCTAATCATAGAAGTATTAAAGGTGCCAGAGTGAGTGGCTGTAATCCTTGCACTGGGCGGTGGTGGGTGTGTAGTCAGGACTGGGAATTCAAGGTCGCCCTGGGATACATGATACCTTGCTTCAGAAACCTTAACCAAAAAGAGGTATCCATCAACTGAATTTGTGGTATTGGTGATGAAGTTTTTGCTTTCTCTTTTTTGGATTTTTAAATTTTATTTTTTGAAACAGGGTCTCTCTACATAGCTCTGGCTTTCTTAGAACTCACTCTGTAGACCGGGTTGACTTCCAACTTGGGAGATCTACCCGCCTCTGCCTCCTAAGTGTTGGAGTTAAAGGTGTCTGTGTGCATATGTGTGTGCATATTTTTGTTTTGTTTTGTTTTCAAGACAGGGTTTTTCTGTGTGTAGCTCTGGCTGTCCCAGAACGCCTTTGTAGACCAGTCTGGCCTCAAACTAACAGAGATCCACCCCTGCCGCTGAGCGCTGAGGCCTTGGATCCATCACACCTGGCTCCTTCAAATTCTTAAACTGAGTGCAAGTCTTCAGTCTGTTCTGATGTAGAGATGAAGCTGTCTTGTTTTTGTTGTTTTTCAAGACAGGGTTTCTGTGTAGTCCTGGTTGACCTGGAATTTGCTCTGTAGATTGATCAGGCTAGCATGGTACTTAGAGATTTGCCTGTCTCTGCCTGCAGAATGCTGATATTAAAGGCAGAGTGCTGCCAGGCCAACCCGAGTCTTGAAGTGGTATGTTTTTGTCTGTGTGTCTGTGATTTGAACTTAGGAACTTGGGCCATGCCCAGCTTTCTTTGTAATATTTAGTTTGAAAAAGGCTTTTACTAAATCAGCCTGTTGTTTGTTTTTTCATGTAGTCCTGGCTGATCTATGGAACTTGTAGACCATGGTGGTCTTGAACTCAGAAACCCACCTGCTTCTGCCTCTTTGAGTGTTTGGACTAAAGGCATTCACCACCATGCCAGTCCTGTGTTCATTCAGCCAAAGATACTCACTGAAGGATAGTCTTTATGCACATTTGCAGATGACTATCAGTTGTCTTCAGATCTGATTAGCTGCACAAACTAGATGTGAAAAGCTGGTTAAAATTTTTATTTTAGGGGCTGGAGAGATGGCTCAGAGGTTAAGAGGATTGACTGCTCTTCCAAAGGTCCTGAGTTCAATTCCCAGCAACCACATGGTGGCTCACAACCATCTGTAATGAGATCTGGTGTCCTCTTGTGTCATGCAGGTGTACATGTAAGCAGAACTCTCTGTATAAATAATAAATAAATAAAGTTAAAAAAATTATTTTATTTTCGGTGTATGTATGTATTTCACATGTGTGCTTGCTGCCCCAAGAGGCCAGAAGGTGTTAGGTCTCCTGGAGCTGGACTTATAGGGTGGTTATGAGCTGCCATGTGGGTGCTGGTAACCAACCAACAGGAAGAGCAGTGAGTGCTTTTTTTTTTTTAAGACCTTTTTTAAAACTTTTACTAATTATACTTTATTTACTTTGAGTGTTTTTTTATTATTTTATTTTGTTTATTTTATTATTTTATTTTATGTGCATTGCTGCTTTACCTGCTTATTTTATTTTATTTTATTATTTTATTTTATTTTATGTGCATTGCTGCTTTACCTGCATGTATGTCTATGGGTATTAGATCTTGGAGTTACAGACAGTTGTGAGCTGTCATGTGGGTGCTGGGACTTGAACCCAGATCCTCTGGAAGAGCAGTTTGTGTTGAGCCATCTCTCCAGCCCTGCAGTGAGTGCTCTTAACCTAACCATTCAGTAATCTCTACCGCCTCTTTTTTTTTTTTTTCTTTATTCTTTTTTTAGATTTATTTACCTTTTATGTATATCTGCATGTACACCTGAATGCCAGAAGGGGTCATCAGATCACATTATATATATGGTTGTGAGCTACCGTGTGGTTTCTGGGAATTGAATTCATGACCTCTGGAAGAGCAGTGCCTTTAACCATCAAGCCATCTCTCCAGCCCTCTCTCTCCAATCTCTTATAGAGCTTTTTAAAAATGAACTACTGGATTGATTTCTGTCATTAAACGTTTGTATTCTGGGAAGTTCAGTGGAGTAGTGTTATGCAAAAGAAAAGGATCTTTTTGTATTCTGAGGTTTAGCAAAATATTAGTTAAGGGCTAGGGAAATGTGCTTGGTACAAAAGCTTAACAATCTGATATTGATTCCGCTGAAAAGGTAACAGCTGATTCTGCAAAGTTGTCTTTTACTTCCACATGTCTCTCCCATCACACATATATACTGTTTTTTGGTTTTTTTTTTTTTTTTTTTGAGACAGGGTTTCTGTGTATAGTCTTGGTTGTCTTGGAACTCCCTCTGTAGACCAGGCTGGCCTTGAACTCATTGAGACCCACCTGCCTCTGCCTCCAGAGCGCTGGGATTAAAGGCATGTGTCACCATCGTCTGACTATATCTACCATTTTTGTTCTGTTTCGTTTTGTTTTTTGTTTTTAATTTTTTGAGGCAGGGTGCTTGGCTAGCCTGGAACTCAGAGATTGATCTGCCTCTACATACCAAGTGCTAGATAAAGGCATGCACCACCGTGCCTGGCCATTAACAGAAAAATTTGAGACCTCCGGCCCAACTGTAATAACCTTATTTGGGAGAATTTTGACTTTAAGGCCAAATGTAGTGAGGCTGTTAAAAAGCCAGCTACAAATATACAGTCTTAAGTGTTCTTTCTCTCTTTCCCTTCTTCCCTCCCTCTCTCTCCCCTTCTTTCACCCTCTCCCTCTCTTCCCATTTCCCTGTCTTCCTCTCCGTCACTACTCACTCATACTCAACACAACAGTCCTAGAAAATAGTTGAAGAAATGGAGTCAAGGTTTTTTACTTGGCTGTATTATAGCACTAGCAGGTGATGTGTCCTGTTCTTTCTGACTCTGGCTCCTCTGCTGCTGCCCTGTGCTCTTGCTTTACAGATGTCCTTGTGTCTGTTCAGAGCCATGAAGAGCTCTAGATCTCTGCTATCTTGTCCCTGTTGATAATGGTCAGCATTGGTGTTAAGTGGGTGCTGTACCTTTTCTATGTAGTTCTTGCTGTCTTGGAACTTACACTGTAGACCAGGCTGGCCTTGAACTCTGAGATTTACCTGCTTCTAGCTCCTGAGTGTTGGGATTAAAGAAAGGCGTGTTTCACCACTGCAAAAGTGGAGCTTTTGAAGTCCATTTGCAGTTGACAGTTCTGTGGTAATTGTTGGAAGGTAGCTGCATGGCAGATATCCCCTGAATTGAAGTATAAACACCTTGGTAGGCACAGTGTCAGTTCCCTACAAGCAACAGTGTTTTGGATTTATACTGTGGAAATGTTTTTCCCGTTGGAATTAAGCTGCTTTCATAAAACCAGGAGCTTGGCCAGGGCAACTTTTAAGGGCTGTGTATAGCATTGAAGTTCTGAGAGTCTGTTTCATATGGGAATATGATTAAATACTAAGAGTTGCTTAATGCAGTTAGAGAATGGGATAAGTGCTCTGTCATCTTCTCTTGGTTTCTGCAAAAGAGAAGAAGTAGAAAATGTGTTCCTGGCTGCCTGGAAAGCTCCAGATGATCCTCCATATGAGAAAGGTATATCGACCATTCAAATCATAAACTGAGTTTCTAGTGAGGTTAGGCGTTTCACATATTCCTTCCTGTTTTGCTGTTCTTCTCAGTGCTGGGCATCAGTACCAGGTCATATTTACGTATGCTAGGCATCATCTCTGAACTTTGTCGTCACTCAGACCCACTTAAATTAACCAGTAGAAGTTGTATGTATATCTGTCTTGTCTATCTCTTTCCTTCCTTTTTTGGTCTTTTGTTTTATTTTGAGGGGGATGGGTTTCAAGACAGGGGTTTTTTTTCTGTGTAGCTTTGGCTGTCTTGTAACTCACTCTATAGGCCATGCTGGCCTCGCACTCAGAGGCCTGCTTCTGCCTCCCAAGTGATGGTTTTTTTTTTTTTTTAATAATAATATTTTTTTTATTATTATTTCATGTACATTGGTGTTTTGACTGAATATATGTCTCTGTGAGAGTGGAACAGGAGTGACAGACAGTTGTGAGCTGCCATGTGGGTGTTGGTAATTGAACCCGGGTCCTTTGAAAGAGCAGACAGTGCTCTTCACCACTGAGCCATCTGTCCAGCCCCCCAAGTGCTGGGTTTAAAAGAGTGCACCACCCTTGCTCTGCTTCAATGTGATTTTGATGGCTAAAGCACTGATACCCCCTAAAGTGCATGTGGAGATGATCACTGATTGTGTGCTTTGTAGATCTGGGAATTTGTTTATTTTATTTTTTATTGTTATATTTTATTTTTATTGTTGTTTTTTTATTTTTATTGTTTATTGTGTGACTAGCAAAACATTCTTGTAATGTTTTGGACTTGCCTGGCTAAGAAAACATGTAAAAAGCTCAGTGAGGCTGAGTGTGGTAGTCCAGGCCTTTAATCCTAATACCCCATATGGGTGCAGAGAACAACAAGAGCAACAAGTTCCCTTAACCTCTGGACCATCTCTCTCAGGTTCGAGTTCCCTCTTATTTTGAGCCAGGTCTGGCTGTTCAGCCTATTTTGGCCTGCTCTCTAACCCCCCCCCCCTTTTTTTTTTTTTTAAAGCTCAGCTTCTCATTAAATTGGAATCCTTTCTTCTTTCCATTTCAGACTGAGTGTCTAGCATTGATTCCAAGGCAGAGTGTTAAAATTTGGTGTCAATTTCTATCTTCTGGCTGGAAAGAACACCCATGGGCCTTGGGAATTTGCACTGTCTGTACTCTAATTTGGATCACTTTTTCTATGTAAAGGTGGAATAATGTAAACTTGAGCTCTAACTTTCAGGTTACATCACCTGCTGCCCAGCCTGCTGTGAGCTTAGATGGTATGGTGTATGAAAAGCCTGACTCTGGCAAGTTGGGGCATTACCACTAACTTTCCTTAACCTTTCTTCATTTCTGTTCAAAATGGCTTTATATCTCAGACTTTTTCCTTTTTTCTTTGAAATTTTTCATAGAAAACCTTGTTGATCTGTCCTTTGTCCTTTCTACTTGTTTCTGCTTTCAGTTCAGTCAGGATATCCACCCGATGTTCCTGTTTGTTAGCGCTCCATTGAATGAGGCACAGATATATGTGACATGGGCAGGCGGAGGGTTTCTCTGCTTACTGTCCTCTTTGAAGAGTTGAAGCATGCTAAGTTGGGACTTTGGCTCTTTGCTAACCTTCTTTGTGGGCTGTCATAGATGCGTCGTTCCATCACACAGCTGAGGTATATTGTTTATAGAACACAAATTTGTTTCCTGGGGAAAACTACTCACAAGTATTGAATTTAGAAAAAATTTAAATGGAGATGTTTAAATTTTTAAAAATTAATTTTGTGTATAGGTGTTTTACCCGCATGTATGTGTGCACTACGTCGGTGCATTGCTCCAGGAAGCCAGAAGAGGGTGTTGGATCACCTGTAATTAGAGATGTAGACAGTGGTGAGCAATGATGGGTGTTGGGAATTGAACCCAGGCCCTTTAGAAGAACAGCAAGTGCTCTTAACCCTTGAGCCATGTTTCTAGCCCCTGGGTGTTAATTTTAAACCTGTAGAGTTTTTGTTAAATACCTTGAAACACATTCATCCTCTTCCCAGCCACTGCAGTTCCAAGGCCTGTTGCAGTGAAAGTCTTCCTGCGTCAGTTCTCCAGTTCCTCTCAGTTTGCTTTCACACTGCTGTCAGAAACTAATGTGCCAGGCTTTCCTGTGTCTGAAAACCCTGTAGTGGCCTGTGTCACCCTAGAAGGGTGAATGAGACCATAGATATAACCCACTCACCTGTGGGCCCCTGGTGAGTGAACTTGTAGTGCATTGGAATACATTATTTAGAAGACACTTGTCTTCCTGATTATTTCTCCCTGTCCTCAGTGCTGTCATCTACCTAGGAACCTGTGTACAGTTCACTTTTCCCTCTTTGATCTGGTAGTGTGTTTATTCATTTGTAGTTCTGGCTGTCCTGGAGCCTACTTTGTAGACCAGCCTGGCCTCAGACTCACAGAGACCAGCCTGCCTCTGCCTCCTGAGTGCTGGGACTAAAGGCGAGCGCCACTGTGGCCAGCTTCATAGTGTTTTAGAGATACACTTTTGATTTGATCTTAGTCAGTAGGCCAAGGAGTAAAAGATACTCTTATTCTGAATGCTATGCTTCTGGGTCCTTTCATTTTAGTGTGAGATGTCTGGGATCAAAGATTCTCTTCTATTCTTTTTCTCAAATGTGTCAGGTTCTTCAGAAGTACTGAATGAGTAGCTCTGGTAGAAAATGTTTGATTGTTTGTATTTAGAAGAGAGTTGTTAATATTTTTCACTTTGTTCTAAAGATGGTGGAACCAGGGCAAGATTTACTGCTTGCTGCCTTGAGCGAGAGTGGGATTAGTCCAAATGACCTCTTTGATGTTGATGGTGGAGATGCTGGGCTTGCAACCCCTACTCCCCCTTCAGTTCAACAGGTAACAGTTTTCCAAATCCTCTAGAATTTTGTAATTTCCATTGTTATTTATTAAATAACAGTAGCAATTTTTTCCTGTTTATGCTATTTGGGATTGAACCCAGGGATTTGAGCATGGTAGGCAAGCACTTTACTGCTGATGTGTAGCCTCACCTTTCTAATTTACATTTCAGAAAGATATTTTTGCCAGGGGAGGTGGTGCATACCTTTAATCTTAGCTCTTGGGAAGCAGAGGCAGGTGGTGAATCTCTGTGAGTTCACAGCCTGGTCTATGGAACAAGTTCTAGGACCACCTTAGTTACACAGAGAAACTCAGTCTCCAGAAACAAACATACATATACATACATATATATACACACACGTGTATATATGCATATACATATATGTGTATATATATGATATACACATTAATGTTTTTAATCTGTTTTTTTTTTAATTAATGAGGTAGTAGTATTGGCATCAAAATCAAGACAATTGCTTTTCCTATTGCTTAACATTCATAATTCATATGGGAAGAGCATTAATTTCTTTTACAGTTCTCTTTGGTCTTTATTGGGACCTTTTTATAAAAAGACTTCTGTTTACATTTGCTAAAAGCAAAAATAAAATTCTAATATTAGTGTAATTTTTGTGGAGATTTTGACCAAGATTAGTTTCTTTACAGATGTAGTGATTGCACAGCCTGATAGCAAAATTCGAGTTTGGTGTGTATAACACTGGAGTCTGAGCAAGAAGGATCCTGTAGTCTGTGCACGAATGCTACCACTGAAATAGAACCCAACTCTACAGTTTTGTTTTTATTTAAGAAAATAAATGCAACTCTTGTTCTTGAAACCGAATTCACTGCTGTCTGCCCTTTCTCAGTATTTTTCTTTGTTTGTTTGTTTTGTTTCGCAGTCGATGCCACTTAGTGCATTAGAACTAGGTTTGGAGACAGAAGCAGCAGTTCCTGTTAAACAAGAACCAGAGACGATGTCTACGCCTGCACTGTTAAATGTGAGGGTAAGCGTTCTGCAGATTTGGGATTATTCTAAAATGGTTTACGGTGGTAGCAAAGATATAACTATTTCAAATAAGATACTTAGCCCTGGCTAGCCTTGATCTCAAGATATAGCAGAGGAGACTGGTGCATTGTGATCATAAAAAACTTCAAAGTTCAGTGTACTCCTTTAATCCCAGCACTTGGTAGGCAGAAGTGGGTGGATCCCTGTGAGTTCAAGGCCAGCCTGGTCTACAAAGCAAGGAGTCCAGGACAGCTAAGGCTACACAGAGAAACTCTGTCTCAGACAAACAAACAAAAAACTTTAAAAAAATAGGTGAAATGAAGATTGAATGTACATGTTACCTCACTATTATCAGTGTTTGGTGCATTGGCTTTTCTTGGTTGTGTTTTGTTTTGTTTTTTTCCAGACAGGGTTTCTCTGTGTGGCCTTGGTTGTCCTGGACTCTGCCTTCCTGAGTGTTGGGATTACAGGCATGCACCACCACGCCTGGCTGCTTTTGTCGATTGTTATGCTGTAGCCTTTATGTGATTAGTTGTGCTTTATGTGCAGAGTTCTTTTGATCTTACCTTAAATATAGCCAAGTAGCTACAGAATCAAATCGATACAGAATTAATTGGTCTAACCGGTTAAAATTTGTCAGTTTATATTGTAGTTTAAAAGTGGTAAAGAGCAGTCTAGAATAATTTTTTTTTGAAAAAGTAAAGGGGCTCGGGATCTCGCTTAGGTAGTGGTAGAGGATTAACCTGGCAGGCGCCAGATCCAGAGATGACCACAGCACCATAAGAACACATACATCAAGTGACATGCAGAAATATGCAGGAACCTTAAAGCCACAGACAAGGCATTTTCAAATTGGCTTTATTTTTATTTTATTTTTTATTTTTTTGAGATAGGGTCTCATATAGTCTATGCTAGTCTTGAGCTCAACTTCTGTTCCTTCCATGTTTCTTTGCCATGTGTGCCTCTCACAGTCCTGCCGCTGTGCTCAGCTTTGTTTTTTTCTTTGCTCCTCTCTGTTTACTTTTCACTTCACCTCTTCCCTGACAACACTCATTGTGTGTGGCTTTGTCTAAGACTGTTTATAGTGAGCACCTTATTACCAGTATTTGGACTTTACCTTGCTATCTTTGTCTTTATAGGTTCTAAAGTTTAGTGTAATCTGTATGATAACAGACAGCATTGAACAGGATCAGTGTTTGAGATGGGCCAGTCAAATGTAAAGACGCTTGTTTCTATACCTCAAGACCCAAGTTTAACTCCTGGGAGCCATGTGCTAGGAGAAAACTGAGTTTTTCAGGTTGTTCTCTGATTTCCACATGTTTGCCTTCTCAGTGAAATCAGTTTGTGGGGGAAAAAAAAACTTGTTTGTTTGTTTTAAATTAAAAAGTGCAATGTTAAAAACAAACATGACTTCAAAGGGCTTGAGTGATAACTCAGCAGTTAAGAGCTATTGCTCCCTATCAGTGGACTGGGGGAGGGGCATGGGAGGAGAAGAGGAAGGGAGAGTGGGCTTGGGAGGGGGTTACAGGTGGGCTACAAAGTGAATAAACTAATTAATAGAAATAAAATTAAAAAAAAAGCTATTGCTATTATAGAGCATCCATATTGGGCAGCTGACATGTGTCTGTAACTCCAGCTCACCTGGTGCCTGTAGTTGCCACAGGCACCTGCACATACACCTAGCCTTACAGATTAAAAGAAAAAAAATTACATTTGTCGTGTTTTTTTTTTAAAAGTCTACTTCATTTGGGGTGTTTAGGTCTCAACCTCCCTTCCAACCTCCTAGTACTACATAGGAGAGAGGTTAGTGGGGAGAGGGGCCCCGGTGTTTAGGGTCATGGGTTCTTTTAGGGCTATCCCAATCTCCACTAACAGCAGACACAGCCAGCAGTCTTCAAACCGCTGCCCCCGAAGTATTTCTGCAATTGCTACATCGTCCATCTTTCTGGTCTCCAAACTGCTACAGGTCACAAGCCAAAATACCTGCCACACCTTCTCTTTCTATGCTCTCAGTTTATATCTCCCAGAGTCCTAAACCACGTCCCTTTCCTTGCTGCACAAGGTAGGAGGTTAATCAGCTGGCAAAAGCCATGCCCTGCAGGAGGTAGTTAACAGCAGTGGACAAACTGTAGCCCAACGAATATCCCACACTTGGGATTAAAACAAAAGCATAATTATGTAACATAACTAAGTTTACAAAGAAACCAAAACTTACATTAAAGACATTAGAAATCTTTTTATCTCTTGTTTTTTTGTTGTTGTTTGTTTTTGAGACAGGGTTTCTCTAGATAGCCTTGGCTGTCCTGGAACTTGCTTTGTAGAACAGGCTAGTATCAAACCTGGAGATCTGTCTACTTCTGCCTCCTAAGTGTTGGGGTTAAAGGCATACTCTACCACTGTCTGGCAACAATAGAGATATTAAAAAAAAAAATAGACTCAATAAAACCTAGGTCTTCACTGACTTACATGATTTGCTTAGAGTTGTCTGTCTAGTAGGTTGTGTTGGTCTTATAATTTTTTTTTTCCTGTTAGTAGGTCTATTAGAATTTGTAAATCACAGCTGGTTTAGGATAGCTTCCCTTTATAATTTATATCCTTGACAGTTGTATAAAATGTCAAATTACAACTGAGCACTGGTGATGTATGCCTTTAATCCCAGCACTTGGGCAGGGGGAATCTCAAGAGTTTGAGGAGAACCTGGTCTACCAAGTGAGTTCCAAGACAGCCAGGGCTACACAAAGAAACCCTGTCACAAAAAAAAAAAAAAAAAAAAAGAAAGTCCAGGGAACTTCCCAGAGACTCATACTCCAACCAAGGACTATTCGTGGAGATAACCTAGAACCCCTGCACAGATGTAGCCCATGGCAGTTCAGTGTCCAAGTGGGTTACGTAGTAATGGAAAGAGGGACTGCCTCTGACATAATCTGATTGGCCTGCTCTTTGATCACCTCCCCCTGAGGGGGGAGCAGCCTTACCAGGCCACGGTAGAGGATAGTGCAGCCACTTTTGATGAGAACTGATAGACTAAGATCAGAAAGGAAAGGAGAACCTCCCCTATCAGTGGACTTGGGGAGTGCCATGCATGCAGAAAGGGGAGGGAGGGTGGGATCAGGAGGGGAGGAGGAAGGGGCTTATGGGGGGATACAAAATGAATAAAGTGTAATTAATAAAAAAAAGAAAAAAAGATTGCTACTACATCCTTTTCTGAATTTTTTAACCTGATTTTTCCTAAAGTACCATTACTTAAGCAAGAATAGAATAAAGTTTAAATTGTGTGTGTTGACCCTGGACTTGTACAGGAACCCGTAGGCCTGTCATCAGAGAAGAACCTTCAGTGTCCATTCTCACTTGTTGGCCACAGGATATCTCTGCCTCCCATTTCACTGTGGGAGCATTAGGATTGCAGATGTGTCCTGGCTGCCTGATTTACATGCCTTCTGGATTCTGGGGTTCAAGGTTTTCCTGCCTGCACAACAGTCAGCTTTCCCTTTGGAACCCACTCTCTGGTCTCTAGTTTTAGATTTCTAAATGGTTTAATGTGTGTGTGTGTTTGGTTGGTTGGTTTTTCAAGAGAGGGTTTTTTTTCTGTGTTGCCTTGGCCTTCCTGGCCTTGATAATCTAGCTGTTTCTGCCTACCTGGGCACTGGGATTAAAGGCATGGGCCACCATGCCCAGCCCTAATGTGTTCATTGATTCAGACTGTTCAAGTCTGAATCAATGAGTGTGTGAAGTGTTGTTTTCTTTTCTAGCAGCATCCTCCATCCACGACAACGTTTGTGCTGAATCAGATAAATCAACTTCCAACATTGGGATCTACAATTGTAATGACTAAGACGCCACCTGCAACAACAAATAGACAAACCATCACCTTAACAAAGTTCATCCAGACCACTGCAAACACACGCCCTTCCGTCTCAGCGCCGGTAGTACGGAACGCCATACCCCCTGCTCCTTCAAAGGACCAGGTTCAGTTGAAGGATTTACTTAAAAATAATAGTTTAAACGAACTCATGAAATTGAAGCCTCCTGCTAACATTGCTCAGCCAGTTGCAACTGCAGCTAGTAAGTCCATTTTCATCTGTTTTAACCTTGTTTTTCCCTAGCTATTGTGTGTATGTGTTTCACAAGTGGTATTGGGTATTTTGGTTAATATTTATTTTCTATGTGTTTGTAAGTGCCTGAGTATATTCTGTGTACCATGTGCATGAAGGTACCCATGGAGGCCATAAGAGGGCATCAGATTCTGCTGGAACTGGAGTTAGCTTCTTTACTCTTCCTTTTCTTCTTTTTCCCCTTTTTTTCTTTTTTTTTAGTGGATAGGGTTTGAAGACAGGGTTTCTCTGTGTAGTCCAGGCTAGCCCTTGATCAGAGAATCACCTGCCTCTGCCTCCCGGATTAAAGGCATGTACCACAACTGCCTGGCTTATAGTTTTTGAAGCATCTTTTGTTGCTCATTTAGTAAATAACTAATGGATGTATTGTGACAGCTCCTTTCTGGACTTTGAGGTGTTGCTGGGGAAGAAACTTGAAGTTGGTGTTCTTAGGAGCTTAGTGTTGGACTGCAGAGAGGCAGACTGTGTGTTGGGTATGTATGCATGCCTGCCTTTGTTTGCCGTGTCTACCAGCTCGTGCCTCCACCACCCAAGAGGATAGGCCAAGTTTCCCACTCCTGTCTTGGGACTAGGCAGATAGGCTAGCCAGTGAGTCCAGGGAATTCTCCTGTCACTACCATACCCAGCTTTTTTCTTTCCTTTTTTTAATGTTTAAGGATTTATTTTTATTCTAATGTGCGTTGGTGTTTTGCCTGCATTTATATATGTGTGAGAGTATCAGATCCCCTGAAACTTGAGTCACAGACAGTTGTGAGCTGCCATTTGAGTGCTGGGACTTGAGCTTGAGACTTCTGGAAGAGTAGCCAGTGCTCCTAGACACTGAGCCATCTCTCTAGCCACCACCCCCACTCCTTTTTATTTGCTATTTGGAGACAGGGTTTCTCTTTGTACCCTTGGCTGTCTCTGGAACTTGCTCTGTAGACCAGGCTGGCCTCAAGACATCCACTTTTTTTTTTTTCTTTTTTTTTCTAGGGTCTTTCCAGCCCTAGGCTGGAAATTCCTACATAAAAAAAAGTTGGCTGTGATGGGATGAATAGCAATGTTCTTCTAATACATGGAGTGGATAATCGTTTCTACAAAGAAATAGTCTCTGTTCTCACTTAGAAAATTAAATCACTTTTATTTATCTGTAGGTGTGTGCATTCTCAGTGAGAGGACAACCTGTAGTTGGCTATTGCCGTTCACCATGTGGGCTAAGGGATCAACTTCAGGCCTTAAGAGGCAAACACCTTTAGCAAATAAGCCATCTCCCAGCCCTCTCCTCTTTTCATTTTGGGCATAATTTCAGGGTGGCCTGTCAAACATGGTTTTTGCTATTGTATTTGAATATGAGAAGGTTCCCCAGGGTGACATGTTTAAACATGTCATGATGTGCAGAAAGGTTATGGTATCTTTAGGAAGTGGAGCCTTCAGCATCACTCGAGGAGTGTTTTTGAGATTTTGCAGCTTCAAACACTTCCTGTTCTTCCTTCGTTTCTGGATGCCATGGCCTCGTGCTCCTGTGTCACGCTTTCCCCATCATGACTGTAACCCTTCTGCCTAACTAAGCCCATTCTTGCTTTTTTTTTTTTAATATTTTTTTCATTTTTAAATAATTTTATACATTCACTTGTATCCCAGCTGTAGCCGTCTCTCTCTTTCCCTCCTCCGCTCCCTCCCTCATCTCCTCCCTGCCCCCTTCTGAGTCTACTGATAGGGGAGGTCCTCCTCTCTTTCTATCTGACTCTAGCTTATCAGGTATCTTCAGGACGGCTGCAATGTTCTTATCTGTGGCCTAGTAAGGCTGCTCCTACCTTGGGGGGGGAGGGGAAGCTCAATGAGCCAGTCATTGAGTTCATGTCAGAAACAATTCCTGTCCCCCTTACTAGGGAACCCACTTAGATACTGAGCTACCATGGGCTATGTCTGAGCAGGGATTATAGGTTATATCCATGCATGGTCCTTGGTTGGAAAAACAGTCTCAGAGAAGACCCAGATATATTTGGACCTTGTGGGCCTCCTGTCCCCGCTAGGTCATACTAACGCCTCTTCCTTTCATATGATTCCCTGCACTCTGCCGAAGGCTTGGTTATGGGTCTCAGCATCTGCTTTGATACACTGCTAGGTAGTCTTTCAGGTGCCCTCTGTGGTAGGCTCCTGTCCTGTTACTTGTTATCTCTTACTTCCAATGTTGATCCCTTTTGTCTTTCTAGATGGGGATTGATCATCTTATCCCTGGACCTCTTTCTTGTTTATCTTCTTCTTCTTTTTTTTTTTTTTTTTTTAAGATTTATTTATATATTATTTATACAGTGTTCTACCTGAGTATGTGCCTACAGGCCAGAAGAGGGTAACAGTTCTCATTATAGATGGTTATGAGCCACCATGTGGTTGCTGGGATTTGAACTCAGGACCTGCATAGGGAAGAACAGCCAGTGCTCTTAACCTCTGAGCCATCTCTCCAGCCCCTTGTTTATCTTCTTTAGGTGTACAGATTTTAGTATGTTTATCCTATCTTAAAGGTCTAGTACCCAGTTATAAGTGAGTATATACTTATAAGTGAGTGTCTTTCTGCTCCTGGGATACCTCACTTAGGATGATTTTTTTCAAGCTCCTACCATTTGCCTGCAAAATTCATGATTTCCTTGTTGTTAATTGCTAAGTAGTATTCCACTGTGTAAAAGTACTCAAAATTTCTTTATCCATTCCTCTGTTGATGGACAAGACATCCACTTTTCAAAACCCTTTTTTTTTTCTTTTTAATTATGTTCATGAAATGTTTGCCTGTGTTTATGTCTGTACAGTGCTGTTGTAGACCAGGAGAGGTCATCAGATCCTCTGGGAGTAGAGGGACAGATGGTGTGAACTCTCACTACTGCATGCTGGAAATTGAACCCCATGTTTTCTGGAAGAGCAGTCAGTGTTCTTAACTTCTAAGCTCTCTCTCCAGTCCAGCACCCAGCTTTCTTTTTTTTTTAAACGTGAGTTTTCAGAATCAAAATCAGGTCATTTTTCAAACTCTTCTGCTTCAGGAACAACAAGGCTTTCTATAGAGCACTCAGGGAAGTTTCCTAGTGTTTGAGATAACATTTTAGGAGTAAAATAGGGATGGTCTGTCCTCCTTCCTTTATGTGTTTTAAACTACAGTGTGTGTATATATATATATATATATACATATATATATATATATATTTTTTTTTTTTTTTTTTTGAGACAGTCTTGCCTAGGCCACTGGGTACTCACCAGTGATCTTCCTGCTTCACACTCCTTACTGCTGCTGGAGTTAGATGCATACAGCACCATGCTTGGCAACATGTAATGATTTTGTTATTGTTTTTAATTTAAAAAATGTTTTATGTGTGTTGTTTTGCTTGTTTGTGTGTCTGTGACCCGTGTGTGTGCAATGTCAGTGGAAGCCAGAAGTCAGCATCAGATTTCTTGGAGCTAAAGTTACAGAAGAGTGTGAACAGCCATGTGGGAGCTGGGAATTAGACCTGAGTTCTCTGGAAGAGGAGCCAGTGAATGCTGAGTCATGTATTCAGCACCTTACCTTGTTTTAAGACAAGTTTTTCACTGAGCCTGGCGTTCACAAACTTGGCCTCTTTGTCTGGTTAACAAAGCACAGGCATCTTGTCCTCTGCCTGGTGCCAAGATTACAGATGTGTTCTGCAGCAGCAAGCCTTTTACATAGGTTCTTGGGCCGTTATGTTTGGGCAGTGAGCATGTTACCAAATGAGCCATTTGCCTAGCCTGTTGGTTTGATTTTTGAAGAAAAAAAAAATGTAGAACACTTCATAAATGTGTATGTCATCCTTGCACAGGGGGCATGCTAATCTATTTTTCCAGTTGTAGTATATGTGTTGCTTAAGGGAGCCACCTGCACTTCTAAAAACCAATCTATTTATTTATTTATTCATTTATTCATTCATTCATCTGTTTATCAATCTACCTGTTTATTTATTTATTATGTATGCAATGTTTTGTCTGCATATATACCTGCACACCAGAAGAGGGCGCTAGATACCATTATAGATGGTTGTGAGCCACCATGTGGTTGCTGGGAATTGAACTCAGGACCTCTGGAAGAGCAGCCAGTGCTCTTAACCTCTGAGCCATCTCTCCAGCCCCGCATTTTGTTTTTTGAAGTGAGCCAGAGTGGAATCTCAAAAGTCATGCTTGTTTTTGGTATTTGTACTAAATTATTAAGTAGTTCTGGCTAATGTATCTTATTTATAGTTTTTGTTTGTTTGTTTTTATTTTTATTTTTTGGAGAGAAGGATTCTCTGTGTAGCCTTGGCTGTCCTGGACTAAAGTAGACCAGGCTGACCTGGAACTCACTGCCATCCTCCTGCCTCTGCCTCCTTGAGTGCTAGAATTAAAGGCGTGTACCACCATACCCAGCTTTAACAAACAGTTTTAAAATTTCTCCTGTGCATTTTTTTTCCTTTGTTTTTTGAGATAGGGACTCTCACTGTATAACCCAGGTTGGCCTGAAACTTCCTGTGTGAACAGGCTGGCCTGGAATTCATAGAGATCTGCCTGCCTTGGCTTCCTCTGCTGTCATCAAAGGCATTTGCCACTAGGACTGGCACATATTTCTTTTTTAGTACTTTTTTTTTTAAGGTAATTGTTCCATAAAGCCATACAGCTTTGAGGCTCAGTGATTAAGTACACATGAGTTTGATTCTTAGCATTCAGATCAGGCAGGTCAAAACCATCTGTAACTCCAGTTCCAAGAGCATATTCTGGCCATTTTTAGCTTCTGCAGGCACTGCACACATATGGTGCACAATTCATATGCTCAGGCACACACACATATAGATATAGATACAGAAAATAGTAAATAAATCTTCAAAACAACTCACAGTACTATGTATACTTTCATGGTTATGCTTAATTTACCAGTATGACTTTTGATATGTATTTTAAATGAAAAACTATTTTGAAACTAGAGGAAGAAAATTGAGGCTTGTAAAAATGTAATCCACTTTCTTCCTGCAGCTGATGTTAGTAATGGTGCAGTAAAAAAAGAGTCTTCTAATAAAGAAGTAGCAAGGATATGGATAAATGACATGAAAATGAGGAGTTTTTCTCCCACTATGGTAAGTTTCTAATAGTAGTATTACTGTTTATGTGAATATGGAAGTTACTTGGCTAAAATTACTTTAGAAAAAATCCTCAAGATGGGTGTGGTGGTACATGCTGGAGATCCCAGCACACCGGAGGCAGAGGCAGGTGGATCACTGTGAGTTTGGGAGGCCAGTCTGGTCTACAGAGCGAGTCTAGGATAGCCAAGGCTTCAGAGACACCCAAAAAAAAAAAAACAAAACAAAACAAAAAAACCCCAAAAAACATAGAAAGAAAGAAAAAAGTCCTCAGTGTGCTAGGTGTGGTGGTCTGGCCTCTAATTCCACCAGATGCAGGTGACTCAAGGCCAGCCTGGTTTCTATAGTGAGCTCCAGGACAGTTGGTCAACACGGGGAAAAAGAGAAGTTGTCAGGAGCTTGTTGAGTGGGTAGGCTGTTTACAGGAACTCAGTAGGGTTGATCACATGCGATGGTGCTGCAGGGATGAGCCTTTATATTCATCTACCTGGCCAGGAAAAATGACAGCATTTTTGTTGTAAACCATTAATAACTTGGTGGGGTCCAAATAAGTGACTGGTTAGTAGCTGTCAAATCATGCAGTGATCTGGGTGAGTTGTTACAATTTCTTTTCTTTAACTGGCAGTGCTGTGTGCCTCAGGTCAGGTAACTATGAGTTCATCAAATACTGTTTCTGGAGTAGCGCTGTATCTGTGCAGTGTCTGTAAGGACTTTCCTTTATGGGTTCCCTTTAAGTAAACATAGTATTTAATACCATCTAGATTTAAGGAATAGTATAAGGAATTTCAAAAGGTACAGTGTGAGCAGAGTATGCTGGCACACTCCTTTGAAAAAAAAAAAAACAGTAAAGGCTCTGGGTCATAGGTATGGTTCTATGGTGGACTGTGACAAGGATTCAGAAGAAACCACAAGCATTGACAGGCGCTGAGGGGCTGGTGGCTCTGTGTACAGGTCAGCAAGCAAAGGCACACCAAAGATATGGCAGTGGGAGCCTGAGCTCTATCGAGGTACTGAGGTTTTGAGGAAGATGGCTGGGAAGACAGGCAGGTAGACAGGATGGTGTAAGGAATATTTACAGAATGCTTATCCTTGTTAATATTTGCACATTCTCTAAAATCTTGGTTTGATAATTTGTTCAATGGGGTGTCCTACCTTTTGTCCCCGCACTCCTTACTCTTTCAAGTCCTGGATTGAGGAGAGAGACTGAGGTTGGAAAGAGATATGTGAGCAGTGAACAAAATAGTTCCAGATGACTGGAGGGGCAGAACTCTGGTGGCTTATTTGTATGTAGGTTGACATGATTGCTTTCACCTTTGCACAGTTAGGAAAGGACTGAAATTTTATGGTACCTCATGTTGTCAAGTTGGAAAAGGTCCCACAAACTCTGGGCCTTTCTTTGTCTCTGACATAAGATTGATTGTACTTTTGTGTTACAGAAGGTTCCTGTTGTTAAAGAGGAAGATGAACCAGAAGAAGAAGATGAGGAAGAGATGGGTCATGCAGAGACCTATGCAGAGTACATGCCAATAAAATGTATGTTTTTGGAATTTGTCAAAACGAAAGACTTTGGTTCCTGTTGAACTTCATTGTCTTAAACAGTTACATGTTAGTGCCTGACCATGTCAGTTGCCTCAAGACTTGACAAGTGTGAGCTGTGAATAGTTTCTCTTCTTTTTCATCTTTTATCTTTTTTTTAGACAAATTTTCGACTAGTCCAGCTCATCTCAAATTGGCAGTCCTCTTGCCTCAGCCTCAGAGTTGCTGGGTGGGATTGCAAACATGTGCCGCCACACCTGGCCATGGTTTAAATGGGATTGTGTGTCAGAAATGTCTTTGGGAAATTTTCTGTCTTTTTCCCTCTTAGACAAATTTAGAACTCTGTTTGAGGTTAAAGTTTTTAAAAAGCATGACTGAAAATTCTTGGGTTTATGTGTTGTTGCTAGTTAACTTTGCTTATGTAAGCATTGATAATACAATCAAAGCAAATTATCCAGACACAAATATGTATCTTAAGTTTATACTAGTTTACGTACCTTACTGAAATCATAGGCACTTTTTTTTTCCCCCACCTTCTAGACAGGGTTTCTCTGTGTATCAGTGCCCTAGCTGTCCTGGACTCATTTTGTAGAGCAGAGATCTATCTGCCTCTACCTCCCGAGTGCTTGATTCTTGGGGGTTTTGTTTTTTCTTTGAGATGGGTTCTCAGTGTGTATCTGCAGTGTGTATCTGCCTTGGAATTCTTTGCCAGGCCGGCCTGGAACTCATAGAGATCTACTTGTCTGAGTTCTTGGAGTGGTAAGCTGCCATGCCTGGGATCTACACCCTCATTTTTATTTTGTTTTGGCTTATTGAGACAGAATCTCTGCTTTAGCCCATGCTTGCATTGATCCTGTTGGAATCCTGGGATTACAGTTGAGCCACTAGGCCTGAGTTTATTGTTTTGTAGTTAATGTTTGTTTGTTTGTTTGTTTTTTCTCTTTTGGGTTTTGAAGACAAGGGTTCTCTGTGTAATAGCTCTGGCTGTCCTGGAGCTTACTTTGTAGACCAGGCTGGCCTTGAACTCACAGAGATCCACCTTCCTCTCCCTCCCACCTGTTGGGATTGGAGGCATGCACCACCACTGTCTGGCTCATTAATGCTGTTTTCCTACCTTTTGTATAATGTGAATAACTTTTTGGTGGCCAGTATATGAGGTTGGAAGTTAACTTTTATTTTTCTGTATGGAAATTTTTTTGCTATATGAAAAGTAATAAGTGGAATATCTGTCTAGATTTTTATTTTACCTTTTTATATCAGGTCTCCTTGTATTCAGTTGTCCTTTAGCTCATGGACTAAATTCCTCTACTACCTCATGTCCCTTAGTAGATGAGACTAGTGGTATGTATTACCATATCCAGCTAAGTCTGGCTGTGTACGGGGCCTGGCATGAAACACTGCCTGCCTATGCCTCCTGAGTAGCTCTGCTTTGAACTAGAGTTTTTAATCCTCAATCTCTAAACTGTGTAGTTAGGTCATTTAGTCAAGTGTGAGTAGTACCTTACCATTACCTTACTTTATATAAAAGCTTGTAGTGAGCAATTACTATTTTCACTGTTCTAATACAAATATTGTACTATTTTGTAATAAGACTGAAAATATTACTAGAATGATCTCTATTTATTTATCTATCTATCTATCTATCTATCTATCTATCTATCTATCTATCTAT